TTCTTAAACGTCCTGGTAAGTTGTCTGAATATTCGCTCAAGTTTCTATGTATTTTCGAGTTAAGGTCTTAATTCTGCAGGATGACGCGAGATAACTAAAATGAATCAAGCCAAAGACCGTCCCAGTAGGCCAGGGAAGGGCCCGACGCTCGCCGCCCTCTTCAATCGGCGGCCAGTCTTCAAAACCGTGACTCTCGACTTGTCTGAAAATTAATTAAATTCGATTCGAGACATCGAGGAAAGAGAGAACCCATTCGTTGTTCAACCGTGTTATTTGCCCTGTCCATATGACAAGCGATACAGCACAATATCGCAGGAGCGGGACGAGTCATGGTGAGAGTCTGGCGAGATCGGCACTTTCACCTTTTTGCAAAGTCACCCCTTCGGTTTTATTGGGTCGTAACGTGTGAAATACTTATGGAGTATTGTTTTACAATATTCCTCGCATTTTCTTTTTTCCCGTCTGAGAAGGCATTTTATTGTTCCACATTCCTTTTTTTTGTTTGCTTACCGAGTTATCGTGGACTAGGACGCACCACTTTTACCATAGAAAAACATCATCAAAAAGTGAATGCACTCCTGTAGATACTTCTAACAAAAATTATATTATTATAATATTTTACATAATTATATTATAACACCAACACTTTTTAAGAGTGTATCTATTTAGTTGTCAGACCAGCGCTGATAAAGTTTTTATAGAAGATTTGCCTTTCTTGTTCATACTTCATGTATATTCTTAGGTACCATAGTTGTCATATACTGGTGATATCTTTTTCCCGATCAATATTGGGCATAGTCGTACGGCATCATGAAACCATGTTACATGGCCTACAAATAGAAACAAGGTTTTGCATATACAGCCTTTGTTATTTATTAAATATTCATTTTGTCAAATGATTCCTGATGACTTCATATCCGTAAACGCTTGGGCAGAGAAGTATGCGAATTGGTCAACTGCTTCGTTACATAGCTGGCATGCCCTTTTATCCATACTATGGCAATGTCATTCCCCAACTTGATGATTCCTTCTGCCAGACTTATATATATTTATATTATATATTAGATATATTCGTATGTAAAATTTATTTTCATTTCGGTCTTTATATATCCAACTAATCGGTGCATATTACTATATATATATATATATATATATATATATATATGTGTGTGTGTGTGTGTATATATATATATATATATATATATATACACATATATATATATATGTATATATACATATATACATACATATATATATATATATATATATATATACAAACCATAGTATCTCGTTATTTTTAATTAATGTTAAGCCTTTTATCACAATAGTAATTAAAATATCTAAAATAATCAGCCGAAAATACTGATAGTCGGTCGGAAAGAGTTACTTCTGGTTGTTAAAAATGGAGGCATAAAAAGCAAAATCAACTTTGTGGTTTAAATCCATCTGTAAAAATAAAGGTAATATAGGTAATAAAAGGTAATAATGAATTAAGATCAGCCTGGTATTTTTGATTAATTTATAAAGAATTTTGGCTCTTAAATATTGTTTTTTTTCCTGTGGCAGTGTTTTTGTGTGTTTTGGCATCGATGTTTTGGGACTACAGATCTCTTATTGTTGTTCTTGATCAGTGCAAATAAAGATTTTGAAGAACTATCCAAAAAATAAAACTAAAGAAGAAACTGAACTTTGGTCGTTACACATCATTTTGACATGCCCGTCAGACGCGTTCGGCATGTTCAATGTTTGGGTCTGTGTGTTTTTTTGAAGTAAAGTCCCTTTTATAAGGTTTTGAGGGGTGGGGAGCACGTGTTGGCGTTTATATTTGCGGATTAAACCAGGGTTTTTTATTGTTCCGAAAGGCCTTTTTTCCTGTTTAGTAATTGTTTCGTTAAACTGTGAACTTATGAGTTTGTTTTAGCGTAAAATGTGTTTTGACTGTATATTTTTAAGTCTGCACAATTTTTTGTCCTTTTTGTATGACGTGTTGTTTCATGCTTGTCAGTCTTGTTGAGAGTCTGTGGTGGCGTTTGGTGAGGCAAGTAGCTTGGTTTTCCGTCATTGACCCCAAACGATCTTACATGGTTTTTGTGTCTGTCTATTTCTTGTCCGGATATGCCTTTTTTCACGAGGGTTCGCAACAGCAGAGGTAATATAAACCCTCATGGTGCCGCTGTTTTTAAAAAAAAGCCCATTTGTAAGTATGCCAGGTTCGAATGCAGGGCCGCTGGATTCGAACCCTGTGATGAGCGCCGTGTCAACGCCTAAACCATTGCGGCCACCGACACCCCCCCCCGTGCCAATTTCGTTAAGTGATTTTGTTTTGCCAATATTGTCTTATTTTTGCAATAGAGTTTCAGGTTGTTGGGGTTGTTCGGAACAGCAGAGGTCTGTGGTGCCAGTTTTTTTGAAAAATAGAGCTGGATTCGAACTCGGGGCCTTTACCTTAAGTGATGAGCGCCGTGTCAACACCTCAACGTTGCGGCCTTCCCTTTTGTGTGGCTTTTTTTGATTATTATTTCATTGATCGTGTTTGTTTTAATGCCGTTATTGTGTGCTATTTTTAGTTAATTTTCGTATTTGTCTTTAGTCATTATGCTTTTTTCAGTGTATCATTATTTTAGTGATGCTATTTTTTGTCTGTGGGGGTAGTTTGAGTATTTGTTGAACAGTTTTTTGTCTGTTTTAGTGATTGTTTAAAAGTTTTTGTTTTGTTGGTTTTAAATAATTGAACTAATGACCCTATAAAAGAAATCGATTTTCCAATTTTCTACCCTGTCGTTAATTTAGAATATTTTAATACAGGATTTTTCCCAGGTTAAATTATGAAATTGGTTCTAAACGGAGAGGGCGGGTTGGAATTAATTAATTATTTGGAAAGAGTTTTAATTATACGGAAATTTTCTCGTAAACCGTTTTTAATTATTGAAGAATATCCATTGGTAGGATTAATTTTCTAAATTATTATTAAAATATATCACGATATCGATTGAGTTTTGCGTGGTAAAATTAAAACAAAATTTTCACAACAGACCGAAGTTAATCAATATTCCAGAACCGTCGAAACGTCCGGTGAGGGCACAATGAAAAGACGATGACATTCAAAGTTAGTAGCATGCCAAAGGTAAAAAAATAAATGGCTCGTAATTTTCCTGAACGGGTACAAACGTCGTCCAAGCGTGCCGAAACAATAATTTATAATCTCGGAGGAGGGCAATAAACGAAATGACACCTGCTTTCGAAATTTAGACGTTTCACTTCTAGGATGTAAGTGCCAAGACAAATCCGAGGGGTTTTGAACAGCCCTGGGAAATCGATAGATCTGTGAACCATTTTTGATAAGGAATACCATCACCATATTCAATCACTCCACCATTTATCATTTCTAGGAATACGATCGGAAACAAATCTTTTCGGTTGAATAGTGGATTAAAATTGAATCTTTCCGGATAATATAGGCATTATGCAAAAATATGGATAACTTCTTTATTATAACCACCATAATCCCACTTGATATTTATTAATTAATCTTGTATCTATAGATAGTTTTGTTTATCCAGCTTGCATGTAAAATTTTCGCTTTTATTTTAGTTCAAGCATTTCGAACAGAGGACTCCAGCCTAGTTCTGGACATCATTGTCGATGATGGTCTATTATTCTTGAGTGGGAATTAGTAAGCCAACTTTCTTGGATTATCGGATACAATCAGGGCTTTAAAAATGACAGCCATTATATGAGTAAACGCGATGCTTGGAATATTTAATAGAATATTAAACCAAACAGTGCGTGGATGCCAGCACATTTTAGGTTTTAAAAGAACCTTGGAAGATGATTTTCTTCGAGAAATCCTTTATAACTTACTTCAATAAAGCGTGAACGCTCGTTGCTCTGGTTTGACAAAGGACATTTCAAGTTCAAGACAACTTTCAAGTCCGCATTATGACGTTAACAACAATGCATGGCGCCCCTCCCTGCTTATACCCAGACGTCCCGCCATCTATGGTCTTTTCTGTCAGTCACTCATTTCTTGGTGGAACAGCATTTGGGAATGCGAAACCAGGATTAAATGCCAAATGATGAGAAATTATGACTTATAATTTCTATAATAAAATTAATTTTAAGTATTTTGTATTGATACTTGAACAAAACTTGTTTTAAGAACCAAGTATTTTGTGTCAATAAAATTTATAGTCGTATAAGATGAAAAATTAACTTGTATATTACATTTTTCTCAGAAAATAATGAAAACTCCTGAATGCGCCAATGTTACTCTAACCCACCAATTCGGATTCAGGAGACTTCAGTGTAATTTAATGTCAACCAGGTGTTCCTCAAGGCAGCATCCTTAGTCCTATAATATATTCAGTTTACACCAGAGACATTCCCATCAATTGTGATACAGTACTCCTCACAAATGCAGATGATAGCGCATCCTTTCAGCAAACCCAGATCCAGAAATGCCTACAGAAACCTCCAGGAAAATCCTTTGTTCAAGAAATGCAGGATCACTCTCAAGACCCTGCATTTGAAACTGACATACTTACAAACGGGCTTTTTTCTCGAAAACACCAGCACCCCATAGGTTCATATAACCTCGCAGTTGAAATACCTTCTTAAAATAAAAATAAAAAAACTCTTAAGAACATTAGGTCCAAAATCCTTTGAACCAATGCACAAGCTCCCTTTTTCGTATCCAACATACCCAAGTCATTACGGTTGCCTTCATAAAACTTAGACCCCATCCCAACTCCCTCGTGTAACACCATTCAACCCGAACCCTTTCTGACAATCCTCTTAGACATGTAAAGCACCAATGTCCCAATGATTTCCTCTCGTATCCCTGAGGACTATTTTTGTGTTAGGAGTAAAATTAATGGGCTTCTTTACATTTATTATACTGTTGGTTGTAGTGCCCTCACACTGATTAATAATTTGTTTTTTATACAATAAGTAAAAATACAAACAATAGGTTGACAAGTTTGAAGAAAATAAGGTTTAGAAAAACACAAACATTTATATTTTATTATATACAAACACTCATTCGGCTTGAATATTGAATATAAACAGTTCCATTTACATTCTGAATTTCTTAAATAACGGGTGTTTAATGTTGCTTGAGGGCTTTTTAAATTCCATGTAGACAGCATCATCCGCCCCTGACATAGATCCGATGTTCCCATGGGTCCTTTTGACGCCCGATCCTTTATGAAGTTCTCCTGGTACTCTTTCCTCGTCAGCATCCAGGTCAGATGCGGCCAAAACCTGCTGTAGGAGGATACCTTGTTCTTCTCTTGTCTTGTACATAATGTCTGGGTCCTACAATAAAGGAAGAAATATGAATAGAATTTATTAAAAAAATTTGTTTTTAATTAATGTTTACCTGTTCGATGCCGGCCAGTTTTGTCACAACTTTGTAACTGTATCCTTGGTTGACTAAAAACCTCTGACGTTTTCTTGAATAAGCCATTTCCATTGTATCTTGGGAGACGAGCGTGTAGAAAAATGCATTGTACTCTTCAGCGACTGCACCCTTCTTCGCGCGAAGGATTCTTCCCAATCTTTGGGCTTCTTGTCTTCTTGAACCACCATGGGACGATATCTGGATTAGAACGTTTGCCTCTGGAAGATCAAACGAAGTATCGGCAACTTTGCTTACGAATATCGTATTCACTTTAGGGTTAAACTTGAAGTTTTGTAAAATCTGAATTCTTTCGTTCTAAAAGTCAATTTGTAGGGGGAAAAAACAATTAAATATACAAGATTTAAAAAAAAATTAGGCTTTATTAAACTTTATTTACCTGAGATGTAGGACCATATATATAAGGTTTATTCATTTTAATTGCATAGTGTTTTAAAGCGAAAACATTATCTGAGAAAACTATTGTTTTATCACCTCTTTTCTCGTGATATCTTATTAAAAATTGAGCAGCCCTAAATTTGTTTGGATTCATTACATATAAAAGCTGAAAAAAATTATTATAATAAGCTCAGATAAAAAGTTTAGAAAATTTGAAAACATACCAGTTTTTTAGAAGTTTTACACATTAAGTATTCCCTATAAAATTCAGGAGTCATTGGACACCATACTTCGGCGCACTGCACCCTGGCGATGAAACCTCTTGATTGCAATTCCAGCCAGTTTGCTTCATACAGTTTAGGCCCAATGAGGAAATTTAAATCGGCAATTTTGTCATCCTCACGGAGGAGAGTTGCAGTAAGACCGAGCTTACAGTGCGACTGAACTATTGTTAAAACACGCCTGAACATTTTTGCCGGAATTGTATGTACCTCTTGAAAAAGCAAACAAATAAATATATTTAAAAAAAAAAATAAATAAAAAATAAAAATAAATAAAACTTACCGTCTAGTACCATTATTCCCCATTCCTGAGTTTGAAGCCATTTCATTGTTTGTTCGGCCTCCCATGACCTTTTTTGTGTGTGGGTTATCATCGAATAAGTCGTAATGAGGATACCACAGCCCATGGGTTTATCTTTTGCTTCCGATGTAAAACGGCAGATCATTATGTCATCAGCGGTGGACCACATCTTGAACTGCTGCTTCCACTGCTCCACGGAAACTCCAGAATTGCAGAGCACAAGTGCCCTCTTTCTTACTGTGCAACATGCTGTCACACCAACCAAACTTTTACCAGCACCTAAAATTTATATATATCATTATAAATATTTTGTTAATATAAAAATACAAATTAAACCATTAATAAACATACCACAAGGTAATACTATAACACCGGATCTTGCTCTTCCATTGCCAAACATTTTTCTTAGACTCTTTTCCTGATAAGGCCTTAATACAGCTGATGGTTTCAAATCAATACTAAAATAGATGTAAATTAAATTTAAATATTTAAAATTTAAAAATCTCTTGAAAGAATACGCACTTGATATCTTGATTTACTGTGTCGTTCCTAAAATCGTATTCGGCAAGCAAAGGGTATTCTAGTTCGATACACCTTTTCTGAATGACTTCAATTTTTTCCTGATTAACTTCAAAAGAAACTGTGCTTGTCTGTTGTTCCTCTTCGTCCTCCTCATCCGCTTTGTCCATTTTGCTGTAGAAATCTGAAATGTCATCAGGAACGGGTACAGCCTTCTCTGGCGGTGCTGCCTCTGTTGTTACAACTGCTGGGTTAGCAGGTTTGATTCCAAACTGAAGAAAAGAAAAAAAAATCATTCTGCTATATTAGTGTATTGTTAGCGACTCACTTGTGGGGCTTTTGCTTTCGATTCGACTTCCGTAATTAATGCCTCGGTGTCCCTTCTCTGCCGGCACTCTTGGATAATTGGATCCTTTAAAAGCTTCTGGAGCACTTCAGGAAATGGTGACTCTATGAAGTACTTGTTGTGCTTTAAGACGAGCTTCACCTTCCCATATGATAAGGTGCAAAGCTTAATAAATTCTACAATCCCATCCGGTATGGATGTTTTGCTCAGCCGCCTTAAATACTCGATAATATCATCTGTCTCTAAACCAACTGAGACTGCAGCGTACAAAGAATATGCTGTTAATTTATACTGGAATATTATAAAAAAGATTAAATGAGATATTACAATTGTACTGTTTTTCACTTGCCTCTTGGATGTGCTCAGGCCGGCAAACTGGTTCAGATATCGCAATTAGAAAATCATGAGCATGTTTGTAAACTGGGGAAAATGATTCTAAAAATATATGACCATTTGGCGCCTGAAATTTTTTTAAATTTAATTAAAAACAATATGTAAAAATATTGATATAAAACACTTACAACCCATAATGGTCTGTTTTCACTGTCTGGTTTGAGTGTAAGTTGATTTCGATAATCTTTAGCGCCAAATTCATCTTCTAGCATACCACCATCGGCACTTTCTATATTCTTTTTCGCCGAACCGGGAACTCCATCTGAAACTGGAGTATTAAATTACTGTAGCTGTCCTACACTTTTCAACCTTTCAAGATACCTTCTTCATCTACATCGATTATCTCCTCTACTTCTTCTTCTTCCTCTTTTTTCCGTTTTCTACCACGCCGTTCTAGAAAAAAAATTGTTCATTTTTTAAATGATATAATCAAAGTAAAAATGGAAAATGAATAAATGTACAATTAATTAAATAATTGACCAGTTGCTAAGACATTCTGCCAATTTTACAAGGTCTATTGAGCTTCTAAAAAGTGCCCAATGGTCTGCAAACCAATACACATACAATACAATCATGGTTTTAAAAACAATCTCTAGGATCTTAGGGAAACTAAACTGTCCACAACTGTAGTTAAATATATTTCAAGTTGCCATATGATCTGTCAGTGTAACTGTTTTTTTCTGATTATTTAAAGGTCTTGATATATGGTCTGGTGTGATGTTTAGAAAATTATTTTCTTTACCATATCAATGTTTGGATCTTTATTGAGATTGTGTTTAGGGCCTGGGATTTATAAACGTTGTTTAAATTAAACAAATACAATTACATATGAATATGAATATATATAAAATGATGTACACATTACAGAAAATTATAGGTTTTGGAAAATTCGCTCAGAGTGCGGGTTTTCTGTGCAGTTGTGTCAATGTTATGTATTGTGTTGAAACTGTTCATGATACAACACAACACAATAACAAATGTAGATAGAAGCATTGGCCACAAGATCCACAATGTAATGATGATGACGAGGGATCATAATATATGTCGAAAGTTTTTTTTTTTTTTTTTTGGCATCAGCTATTTAGCCACAGCCAATGTCAAAAGTTAATAGCGTTGAATGAGGCATTGCTTACAGAGTAGAAATCATCTCGAATTCTCAAAGTACTTTATTAAATATTAAATCACTAAACGACTGCATCTACATCTTATTGCATGCGACAACAAATCTAGATACAAATGCTGACCAAAAGATCTACAACTTTAATTTATATCTGTCAACCCTTATACGCCCCTCATCATCATATTTATTCTCTGGGTCGATCATACATGTTTCATTCATACTATTTCTTGTAATTCGAATATAAATAATTAATAATTAATTACCGACGTAATTTTCCTTTTTGGCACGTTTAGGCCCGCCCATGCCGTTGATGATCGATTAATATTATATAAACGAATAAAATTATCAAATCGTGCGTATTGTTAATAAAAAATGCGAAAAATACGTAAAAAAACGGACTCCTCTTATAACCTAGGTTTTATTTTGCAGCTATGCCTACAATGTAAATATATAACCTTTCTACGGTTATCAGACAGGTTCGCCAATATAGCACAATAATCGCAATGATGTCTGTAATGTAAAAAAAAGAAATATTTATATACAAAGTGTTTTGTTTAGGAAATTCATTTTTTAAATTTAATCGTAAATTTAAGCTATGTTGGTTAAGTTAATACATATTAACGTTTTTAAAATTAAATTAATTGAGACTGGAGTACTTATTTTTTGTATTGTAATGTAAGATAGGTAATTTTAATTAGAAAAGTTAATTTATATAGGAATAAGGTAATTTTAATTAGAAAAGTTAATTTATATAGGAATAGAGTTTAATTAGTTGTTTCAAGACGATTAGCATTGTGCTAAGGTTTTGTTTCTTGGTAGGGGAAAACAGTGGAGTCCGTTGCCCAGCCTGGCTCCTCCACATTCGAGTAGATTTCGCACTGTTAATCTACGTTCGCTTAGTGGTTATGTTATGTTGTTTACTCGGTGTTTTAAAGAGCGTTGCTGAGTATAATTGTTGATCGGGTGCGTTCGGTCATGAGCAGAAAACGGACTGGAAGGAGTAGACGGTCTTAGAAAACAAGGTATGTATTGACGTCATTGAGAAAATCGGGTCGGAAATAAATTTTCCGAAGTGGATGTCTGTTGGCGTTATCACCGTCGTATTTGGTGTTTTTCCGACGTGACAACCTGCCCCGGGGGTCGGCAGAGAGCCGGGACGTTTTTCCAAATCGGCCCGACTACCGAGTCAACGGGAAATCGGCTTTTTCGCGCCTGTTTTCTTCCTACGCGGTCGGCCACAACACGGGAACAATTTTCAAATTTTGCCCAAGTTGAAAAATACCCACCAAAATTCGTCCAATCCAAAAAAAAACAACAATGTCTGTATTTTTTACACAATTTTGATTCCAAAAAGCTGATTCCAAGTAGGCAGGTAATTTTTAAATTTGTTTTCCTCTTGAGGGAGTTTTTGAAATTTCAAAATGGCCGACTCTTAGTGATTTTTTTACCGCCGAAAACGGAATAATAAAATAATTTGAATTTTAGTCTGTATAGAGCTTTTTAGTCCGGCAATGCTCGATGTCTGTTTGTATGATGTTTCTGTGTGATTCTAAGAAGATAACACACTGAAGACGGGACGGCGAAATACCGAAACCCGCCTGACAGACCGACCCAACGATGATAGTCGGACCAAAAGGTCGGTAACGGCCAAATTTCAATTTCGACACACGCAGACAACTGGGAGAAATATCAAAATAAAATGATTTATTAAAAAAAAATCCATGAAAGTACTAAATCAAAGCTTTACTAAATTCTGCTTTTATTAAAATACTGAAGAAATAATTAATAATCGTTCACCGTCATTACTACTCAAGTTAGTATGGACAGCTTATACTAACATCATATTACTACTACTAACAATAAAAACAATTCGAAAAATTAAGTGTTTATTTTTTTTATAAATTAAAAAGTAAGAAATTCATGTCGTATCGGAGCTCTTAATATCCAGCTGCTCTCTGGGTGTTCCTGACGAGGGGTCAAACCACTTAACATACTTTTTTCGTACTATTCTCAATTAAAAGTAACCATGGGCTGTGACAAGATTCGAACCCAGAACTTCCAGCTAGGCCAGTATGATTCTAGTGCTTTAAACACTCTGTCTCGGCGTTATCATATTTTATTTCTATTCATATTCTAAATAAACAAGATATAGGCTGTGCCAACATTCGAATCAATAACTACTAGCTTGACAAATATCTTATTTTATATAAAATTTAACAATAGGTACGTTAGAAGGGGATGGGAAAACATATCCAGATGAATAAGTAAATAAGAAAAACATATAGTAAACTTGCATATGTTAAATGTATGTAAAAAATAATGATATTTTACTATTATTAATATATGCAGTTACTATTGATAACTTACAGAGCTGATCCTTCACAGCGTATACTAACATCATATTACTACTACTAACAATAAAACAAAATCGAAAAAATGTTTATTTTGTTTTGTAAGTAAGTTATTCCTGTCATGGCGTAACTTGCACCTACCTTCTAGGTGTTGCGGACGATGGCTCGAATATCTTTACAATACTTTTTTCAGACTATTCTAAATAAAAAATAGGTTGTGCCAGGATTCGAATCGATAGCTTGACAATATCTTATTTAATATAAAATTTAACAATAGATACGTTAGAAAGGGATGGGAGAACATATCCAGATCAATGAGCTGTAAAAATATATAGGCAACTTGCTAAAGTAAAAAATAAAGATATGTTACTAATGCAGTTAATAAGGAGAGCTTATAGCACTGATCCTTGACTGCTTATATTAAAGTCATTACTACTAATGCCAATAAAAAATTATATAATTGTGTTGATTTTATTTTGTATAACATGTAACATAAGTAGGGGGTTGAGAATAGAACATAGGTCTTGGTTGAGGTGAAAAAATTGTCACAAGAGGGATTCGAAGCTAGCCGAAGATCGAGGGTTCTAAACCCGCTCGTGACACTAACTTTCTCATTTCAACCGTGACGTTTGATAAAAAGTATAATTGAAATGCGCTAGTACCAAGTGAACCAAAATTTAATGTTCGGCAAAACATAATTAATAAATTATCTTATGTTATAATGTAAAATAGATAGTAAACTGCAAAAGTTTAGGGTAGGATAAATAGTGATATTTTACTATTATTACTAATAAAATTACTACGGATAGCTTATAGAACTGATCTCTACAGTTCAAATTGTAGACAGCTTGTGATAACATTTTATTAATAGTAATACAAGTTGAAACAAAAGTATGTGTTTATTTAGTTTTATAAATAAGCAATTCCTGTCATACAGGAGGGCCTAACATCCAACTACCCTCAGGTTGTCACGGATGAAGGGTCACATTACTTTACAATACATTTTTCATACTATTCCCAATAAAAACTTTTTAAAAAGAGGGATTCGATTCCGGAACTATTAGCTTGGCAAATATGATTCACCCGCCCTAAACACTCGGCCTCCGCAGTATCAGATTTTATTTATATAAAATTTTACAATGTGTAAGGAATGGTGAGTTAGAACACAACCACATGAGTAAGGAGTAAAAATAGCAAGTAAACATGCAAAAGTTTAATGTACGGCAATAAATAATGATAATTTACCATTATTATTATTGCACTTACTATTCATTTATTATACAGGGTGAATTGCTACTCGTGCTACAAACTTCTCCAGTAGATTCTTCACCCTAAAATGAACAAAAAAGTTCATATTGTCCATGGTCCGATTCTCAACCATTTCAGAGTAATTTCGCTTTTTATCGATTTTGAAAGATATCACGTCCTGGCGTCGGAAAATCGTGATATCTTTTAATCTAAACATTTCTCTGAAAATCTAATAGCACCGTTGAAATTCCCGTTAATTTTTCAATAAGAAGATGACGGTGGCAAAATGTTTGGGCTAATTTTTTGTGTTTTATTTCAGCCAGAACTACAAAAAGAGTGGAAAATTGTGTAAATCGGAAAGTGTATAAAGTAATCCAGAGTTTCTAATTTTAGTCTCAGAAGGCAGCAAATTTGAGGAAAACTACCTGATTTAATAACGCTTCCAACGCACTCGTCATTTTCTTATTTAGTGGTTGTGAGACCAAGATGTTGATGACAAAAAGAGAAAAAATGGTGGTTCAAGGATTGCTAATGTTTGAGAGTGACTTGCTACTCGTGCTACAAACTTCACCAGTAGATTCTTGACCCTAAAATGAACAAAAAAGTTCATATTGACCATGGTCCGATTCTCAACCATTTCAGAGTAATTTCGCTTTTTATCGATTTTGAAAGATATCACGTCCTGGCGTCGGAAAATCGTGATATCTTTTAATCTAAACATTTCTCTTAAAATCTATAAGCACCGTTGAAATCCCCGTTAATTTTTCAATAAGAAGATGAAGGTGGCAAAACGTTTGGGTCTTTCTTCCTTGACCTTCTAGCTGTTTGTAAACTTCTTAAGCATTACATACTAAATGGGCATTAAATTAAATTAAAAAATTTCAATGGAATTATGATTTTGATTCTCTCTAAAAATTAACGGGGATTTCAACGGTGCTTATAGATTTTAAGAGAAATGTTTAGATTAAAAGATATCACGATTTTCCGACGCCAGGACGTGATATCTTTCAAAATCGATAAAAAGCGAAATTACTCTGAAATGGTTGAGAATCGGACCATGGACAATATGAACTTTTTTGTTCATTTTAGGGTGAAGAATCTACTGGAGAAGTTTGTAGCACGAGTAGCAATTCACCCTGTATAGTTCAAACGGGACGCAGCCCTAAAATAGAACAGTCAAAATATAATTATAGTACTAATAACATTAGGTAAAAACAGTTTGTAAAAAGTAAACAAAAATGACAAAAGACGAAAACTCATATGTAATTAGAAAGAAGAGAAATCAAAGATTAAAATTCACAGCAGTTCAAGAATAACATTCATATTATTCCTTAAAAACTTAAAAAACTTTATTTTAGCAAAATAGCAATTCAATGTACATAGTCTAAGCCTTGTCTAAGGCCTTGTAATATGTAGAGAAAGTTACGAACCAAATGAAATCACTGCATTCAAGCATAATTCTAACCAAAGACTTACAATATTTTGATTGCAAAAATACTCATAAAGTCAGACGTCGTAGGTTTAATAAAACCCAAGTTTCTGTATGCCCTATTGATCATGTATAAATATTGAACTTCAAAGGTACACTTCTTATTAAATACCACCCCCAAATCAGTTGACCTTAAGAGGGACACCACCAATCGAGTATGATAAGTGTTTACGCCGAAGCGTCATTTATTCTATTTTCTTATTAAATGTTAATGTTGCGAGAAAGTAAACTTTTTATGTGGATTAATCGAAAGCCTTTGGAAGTGCACAAGTCATGAAAAGCAGAAATATCTTTTTGTACCAATAAACTATCATTAAACGAAGAGATGCATTCGTAAGTTTTTTAGGTCATCAGTCAATACAG